AGGTTGTTCAAAGAGACGGGGAGGAAAAATTTGTAAGGAAGCTCAAAAATTTACTTTACCGACAGACAAGACTTCATACGACATGCTAAATTCAATGCAAAGAGACTATCACATGCAAGTGATTGAACTACATTTTAAAGATGAATAGTTAGTTGCTGCATAAAAATTTATTCACTTTCCTGTGTTAATTTGTTGATTAGGTTTCGTTAGGTGTATTCATGTGCTTAGAAATTGTGCAGGATACGATGGTATCCTTTCAAAATATTGCTTTGCCTAATATATGGAGTACTCGAACACCTTTCTATAATTCTTTTTCTTACCCATATATTATTCCAATAATAATATTATTATTATATATCATATGATTTATTTTTTTATTTAACGGACTTAAGACAAAGCTCGGGACAAGTTATAATTCGTTGACATAAACATCTTTTCAAAATGGCTACGTTATTACGTTTTTAAAACTAATATGAGTGTAACATTAACGGCGCCCGGGCAACCGCTCGGGCCAAGCATCTAGTATTTCAATATTATATCACAGTCTTTTTTTGGGGGTGATTAAATGTGGGATCAAAACTTAATTCTACCTCTCACATTTTCTTTTTCTATATTATTCACGAAATAAGGTAGTTGTGTTGATAAATATTTAGTATCCATTTTTCTTTAAAAGATTATTAATATTTATTTTGGTTAAGAAACTTGTCGATATATTAGCGTTCGCATTACTGCATCAAGCGGGTCGCAAATAAATTTTGATAAAAGGTGAATAATATTTATTCCACCATCCCATGACCATGAATGTACTGCTACATCATCAATACTCTAATTTTTGCAATATTTTATTAAATATATTCACTCTCATCTAATAAAACACTTCATGAATTGAATTAAAATAATGTTCATGTTGTCTCCCATATTATAGATTGTATTATTAATCTATAATATTATATTAAGAGAGAAACCAAAAAGAGAAATTTAAACTTCTTCTCACGTTGACACGTATAACAAAATTCTATATGTCCTTTTCCTATAGGTTGACAGAAAAATATTTACAACTATTATACTAACAATCTTTTGAATTTTCAGTAAATTAAGTGTTATCAAATCACAATTAATTCTACCAATCGATTGGGTGGTAAATTTTCTATTTTGTATTTGGTCAAAACAACCAGTTCATTTTTTAAAAAGTCAACATTAATGGTTTCTTTCCATGTGGTGTTATAAAAAAAAAGTAAATTTTGATTTGATTCATTTATAATTTAATGCTGATTGATTTGAATAAATTTCCCAATTGGCTTGAATAAAGCTCCTATGTAATACTTTGTATTCACATAAAAATATGAAAGTAATGCCATTACGTATTAATTTGATCAATAATTAATGTTAATATTTTTTGAAATTTGAAATAATTAATACAATATCATAACTGATTTTTTTAGCCTTTAATTATGGGTATAAATGATTCCCCAAAATTAATGTATGGTCCATTAATTATCAAATCCCAAACATTAGCAAATCCCATAATTGAGGCTAATATAGGACGATATGATCAATAATGGGAAATCAGTCTATGAAAATATTATATAACTTTCTCTTATCCCCTAATCGCATGCACAATAGCTTCTGCACTTTTCCCCCTTTTTCTGATTATGATTGAAAATAAGATTGCCTTTGGTTGTTGTATTTCTTTTCAGGTCCAAGAACAAGAATATACATTAACAACTCCACTCCAATGGTAGTGAGTACTGGAGAATCCCATTCACGTTCTCAACATGTGGAGGGCTTGCGTATGATCCTTGATGCACTGTATTTGTTGGCTCAGGTTGCGTCCGCTAAATCTTTGTCAATCGACAAGGTTAAGCAAAATATTTTATGAGAACAGATCTATTCATTTATATTTTTAACAATTTAATGATGGATGTTTGTTAATACTATTTTCAGTGGCACAAGATCCATGTTTTTGTTTACAAGAAACTAATGTGAAAGTTTCAAATGTGACGGAAGAAGGCACAACCAAACTCATCTCCAGTTCAAAATTGTAAAGATAAGAATTCTGAATTGGGTAGGAGAAGTTGAAGGGAAAAACGGAAAGAAAGAATGATGAGAAAAGTATTGGAAACTGTTGATAGAATGATGAGAACATCGGCAATCGGAAGTAAAGAAAGAACGTACTCAAAACTGTTGACAAAAAGTATTAGTGGAAAAAAAAAATAAATCAACACCATCATTAGAGACCATTTATTTTTTCTTTTTTTTTTAAGTATAGCTAAAATTACTTTTTCTTTAAGATTTACATTTTCTGTATAAATGGATATTGGAATCCGAAAATGTCCCTTAATAAGTGAATTTGTTCCATGTCAAAAAGATTCTCCAATAATACCAGTTTCACTTTTCAAAATGCAAACAAATATTATATGCCTTGTAGCCTTTTTAAATGTATTTATTAAGTAGTCTTTTTCATATACTTATTTATTCATATTCTAAATTATTCTAAAATTGTATTAAAAACATTTTACTTATCCCGCACATCGTGCGGGTTTAATATCTAATAATTTATAATGTAGATTATTTTAATAACATGGATAGGATACAATAAATTGAACTATTTCTTAGAACAAGACAATATAAAGACATCCCTTCACTAATCAGCAAAGACCGATGAATAGTGAGTCCCACAATCAAATAGTTTGAAAAAGTGATTCAGTAAAGTAACATGACTGTGGATTGTATTTGTACCATATCTTCTCTTTATATTGAAAGAAATGGAAAGAAATTATTGCACAATAATGCAACAAACTATCTAAAAAGATCGAAATGATTAAAATCTCAGTACACCAAAATCACAGGTTATGTTTTTTCTTAAAAAAACAGAAGCAAAACACACAAGTAATCAATCCGATTGGCCAGATTAGATAGCTTAAAATTTTGCATTAATTACTCATCACCCCACGTTGCAGATGATGACATATGTTTTTTTTTTTTTCACATTGTCCAAACTCTCTTTTTGCTATTAGCGGAAATTGCCGTGGAAAAATACCGATCACATTGTATTTTAAATAAACAGGAATTTTTTTTTTGTTAATTAAACAGAGATTTATTTACTCATGTTGTTTTCGCATTCCCCTGTTTTGGGAATTCACAAAGTAAACCTTTTTTTTTATTCTTTCTTCCAGTGAATTGCCCGCAAAAAAAAAAAAAAAACATTTGGTTCACTTGAATTCTCTAGCGTTTCTTCTCCAATATCAATCATGATGGCCATATTTTAAATAAAAAAAAAAGTTAATGGCTGACAAAAATACCTTCAGAGAATAAAAAAAAACTTGTTAAAAAACTGCAAAAAGTAAAGGGCTCTAAAATTTTCTTTGGTTACAGAGAATTATAAATTTGTGTTTTGCTGTTCATTTAACAGCCATTATAATTAAACACTTTTCTGGGATATGGACATTTCTGCTTTTCAAATATACTAGTTGTCTTTTCCAGTTCTTTCATAAAATCCAGCTTCTTCATTTGGTTTTTGCTTCCTCTAAATCTTTCAATTCTCAAGTGCTTTGGTTATATTGGGAAGATACTGAAGATTGAAGCCATTGGTTTGGTATAAACCCATGGCTTCTGTCCTTGTAAATAATTTGTTGGCATCACCATTACATTTTTGCACATTAACAGAGTTTAAGCCTCAACCCAGAGCTCAAATTAGGTGTTCAGCCACTCAAGAATCCTCTGTATTTTCTACTGGTTCAGTTACAGTTAATGGGTCTTCTAGTTCAACTATCAAGGAGAAGAATGGAAGTGGAACTATCCCATCAACTTTTATTGGAAATGGCAATTTGGCTGGTGTAAATAAGATAAACAGGAAGAAGGAAGAAGGTGAAGAAGTTGTGCAAGAAAAGCTAGAGCCTTTATGGGATGATGGATATGGAACTCAAAGTGTGAAGGATTATATGGACTTGGCAAAAGACATCATAAAGCCTGATGGTGGCCCTCCCCGTTGGTTTTCCCCCGTATCATGTGGCCCTCCTCTCAAGGATTCACCAGTTCTTCTATTTTTGCCTGGTAATTTGTTGTTTCGAGAATTTAAATTCAGGTTCTAAATAAATTTTAATCTGGAGCTGTAGCTATGGGATTATCCTGTTCATGGGACTTGGAAATGAATTTGATTTAATCATCATGTGCAGGAATGGATGGCCTCGGATTGGGTCTCATATTGCATCAAAAAGCTATTGGAAAGTAAGCAAGTTGTTTCAATATGTTTCTTTGAAGCTAGTTTGGCTGTAGTGAAAGAGAATGCATTCTTCTTTGAAATTGTGTTTTGCAATTTGATTATTGCGCCTGTGTGGAAGTTCACTGGGGGGGTGTCAATCATGGAAACCTCAATATTCGGTTTGCTTTCCATCATTTTTTTCAAATATTTGTTGGTCGTTTTGTACACCAAGTTAATTGCTCACAAGGGGCACTAGATCAACATGGTTGTTTTAAATCCAGGTTGCAGTGTCATTCACTTCATTGAATCTTTTATCTAATGAAAATGACCAGAGTCTGTGCCTTTTCAATTATGTAATGTGTATTTAGGATGCATGTGATACAAAAAAAGATTCACCAGAGTTATTAGATCTTGTATGTTCAGTCGACTGACTATGATTTACTTGTTCTATGTTAGGATAGAAAGTGACCTGATAGTTCCTTTTTTTTTTTTTTTTTTTTTCCCCTTTTTTGCAGGGTGTTTGAGGTATGGAGCCTACACATTCCCGTGAAAGATCGAACACCATTCGAAGGTCTAATTTCTTGCTTAATCTTGATCACTTTGGCAATAAACAGGAAAAGATCACTTCTCATAATCTACTACAATCCTTATATACCTATCAGTCAGTAAATTTTTGGTATGTTACAGACTTACGGATTCAGATTCCAACTATTTATGTGTAATCCATTGTGTGCTGCACATTTAAATGGAATTTCACGGTGAAGCTGGTGAAAAGAACTGATGATTCCACTGTATATAGGGCTGGTTAGGATGGTTGAAGAAACTGTGAGGGCTCAACATGCTTCATCTCCAAGTAAGCCAATATATCTTGTGGGGGATTCATTTGGTGGATGTTTAGCACTTGCAGTTGCTGCACGTAATCCAACTATTGACCTTGTACTAGTCTTAGCTAATCCAGGTAAATTTTGGTGATAGTCTCATCATTTTACTTTGTATCTTAAGCTATCTGTCAGCCCTGTTTACTACTAACTTTTACCATTTATATCAGCAACTTCGTTTGGTAGGTCACAGTTGCAACCACTGCTGCCGTTGCTGGAAAGTTTGCCTAATGAGCTTCATTTTACAGTCCCTTATCTTTTAAGCTTTGTTATGGGTAAGCTAATTCATGACATCAGACTTAATAATGTTCTATTTGATATGGTCCCATATTCCTGCTATTAGCAATAGTGCCGAATTGCAGCGATCATTCAGCATTTCTGTCATCGAGACCACATCTTGATGTAGTTTCACTTCTAAGGTTGACTGTGATAGAAAATTAATTGACACATGTTAATTGCTATATAATGAAAGACACAACCTCATAGGTGCTGCCTTTCAACCAGTTATGGCCATATGAGCTCAGAGTGCCCCATGTTCTCAATAAGTTGAATGAATGGAAATTATTCTCAAGTTAAATTGTTTCTTAAAATGTAGATTTCTAATTTCTTTATTGAAATCCTGCATGAATCTTGAAAATAGCTTCTGAGCCAATGACAAGCTTGAGTATCTGTGCTAATTGCACTTCAGATATATGTTCCATGGTTGCTCCTAGAGTGCAAAGCGTTCTGCTTGGTCTCTGCACTATCATATCTAACTTTTACAGACAACATGCACCATCTTTGGATGGTTGGTTTCTGCATATCTGCGGTGCTTACAGACAGAACCCATCGGCTCATTTTAGGAATCCATTTAAATTGTTGGAAAGGATATTGAAATAATATCCTGAAATGTGTAGTCGTTATTTGGCCCCTGCTGAATAGGTCTATATGTTATTGTACTCTGCTTCTTTCCCTAGTCATTTGAAACTGTCTTGCTTTGCATTTTTCTCATGATTTGCTTTTCGTAAATGATGTGGGTCTTATGTTTAGGTGAACCAATGAAGATGGCTATGGTTACTGTTGATGCCACTCTTCCTCCTACAGTATTTCTTGAGAAGCTGTCTGGCAACCTGACATCTTTGCTTCCACGCCTTTCTGTGAGTTGCTTAATATCTTTATTATCTTTGCTTTGATTTTTTTTCTTTTGTTGCTCTAAACGGTTACCTGGACTATTTATTTTCTTATTGTTGATTCTTGAAAGAGTTCAATAAGTGATCATTTGATTTGGGGTTGTGTCATCCTATATGAATCTGCCCACTCATTTTTCTGATTTTACCATATATATATATATGTATGTATATATACTGCTCTGCGGAACTAGTTTACTTTTGTAACCAATTTGGTGCAATTGGATTAAAGTCCACCACCCCTAGCATTCAAACAATTATATTTGTGTCCTTGTCAGCTAATGCACTTGTCCTTAAAGTCTCTGCTTATGTAAACTCACGCACTTACGCCGTAAGTTACTTGTAACAGAACAGACTAAATCATTTCCTGACCTTCTGTACTTCCACACATGGACTCCACAGCCAAAAGGGAAAGGCCACTTTCACCACATTGAGCAAAGTGTTGCTTGATCATCCACAGATACCAGCTCGTCTGAGACTACTGAAATCACTAGCTTAACTAAAACGATCCAATAAGCAATGGAGTCTAACTACATTGATAAGCAATGCCTCTTAGGCTAGTTAGCATGGAAATTCCTTCAACTTCTCTATTCACACTATTCATGAATTCACCATAATGGCTTATGGAACTGAAAATCTGAAATTAATGAAGGTGATCTGTTTTTGTATGCTGTTGGTAAAACTCAATGATAGAAAGAGGCTAGGGCTGAGATCAAGAAAATTCAAGAAGATGAGTCTTGCATAGTTGACTCTGTTTCCATAAACTGTTCCCAAAATACCAAACCTGCATTTAACATACATTTAGCTTTGATTTTCTTAGAGATTTTAACAAGCTGAGGTTTTTGATAGCTTAGGACTCTAGTTTGTGGGATTTCTCTTAATGGTATGTGTAAGCAGCTCCTCTACTTGTGAGTTAGTCATCAGAATGTTCAGACCTCTAGAAACTCACACTTCACTTTTGCTGTAGTGTTCAGTTCTTATCAGACTCCAGGAATCTGTATCCTGCAATCATCTGATTTCCGTTATATTCATCTGCTTTTTTTTAGACTTTGTCTGATATTATACCAAAGGACACTCTTCTCTGGAAGCTGAAACTTCTCAAATATGCTGCTGCTTATGCTAATTCTCGTCTACATGCGGTAACTGCTGAAGTTCTTTTGCTTGCAAGGTGATTTTCTGTGTTGATTCGCCTTTCATGTATTGTTTAGGAAGAACTTGTTACGCTGTTCAATTCACTGCATGGGGAATTTATTTTCCAACCATCTCTCTAAATTCCAAGTTTTTTTATAAGTATTTCTGTTCATTCTAACCATTGCATACATTAGCCGGGAGTGTACTTACGGGCATCTGCCTTTGCATTGTTCTAACCTGGAAACCAAGACAAGCACTTAAAGTCATTTCATTCTGAACAACATTTTCATCCCAGTGGCAAGGATAACATGCTTCCAAGCATAGATGAAGCAAAAAGGCTTGAGGGGTCTTTGAAGAATTGTGAAGTGAGAATCTTCAAGGACAATGGGCATACCATTTTATTGGTGAGTGGGAATGGATGGCTTGCTTGTTCCTGTATTTAGTGGATGCAAATTCAATTGGAGTTTGTTCTCTTTGGGGTACAAGTTTTAAGCTTCATACCTGATGTACATGCAAAATGCTTCAGACTAGCTCTCTAAGTGACTTCCATTTCGCTTTTTGTTCTTGCATTAAAAGTTCTTCAAACATTTACCTATCATGATGGTAGGATTGCAACAAATGCATACGTGTAAAGGTTTCTAAGGCTAAATATCATGTATTTATAATACCATTGTCCTAAGTGTTGACTGATGGGGCAATAACGGTAAAAAACAGATGCCTGAGAAGATGATTTGGTAGTAAGGGGCAATGTCTTTAAGCATTGAAATGTTCATTTGCTGTACATTCAGATGTGTTCACTTCTCAAATCATGATTTTAATCAGCTTTGTGATTGGTGCCTTGAAATCAAGAGCCGAAGGTTCTATTGAACTTGATCAACATTTTTCATCAGACCATGTTTCCCTAACCTTCATCTGCAGCTTTATTAAAGTAATTTCTATGCTCTGAAACACAATATATGAATTGTTCAATATCACAAATGTATGTTTGTTTGCAGCATGTCATTTTTAGAATGAAATTGTCTGTATCATAATATTATAAGTATCATCATTAATTGCTGCGGGATTTCTCTTTGATTGCTTTGTTGAAGCATATATTATACTGTACAAATTTTGTGAACTCTAACTTATTGCCAGAGCACTCTGTGCAGGAAGATGGTGTTAATCTGCTGACAATCGTAAAAGGAACCTGCAAATACCGTCTATCAAGAAAACATGACTATGTTATGGGTTTTATACCTCCTAGCAAGTCAGAGTTCAAGAATGCACTTGACAATAATCGGTAATTTTACTTTTTGCTGTTAGTAATTTCATCAATCCATGTACTCAATAATGTGAAGGGTGGACGATATCCAGTTAAGGTTTTGACTTTTGAGTTTGAGCATTTTTCAAAGTTGTGAGCATGAAGTTAAATCACATTCATCACGCAGTAATTGTAATGTAGCCGTCAAGATTTTGAGCATTTTCAAATGGAATTCTGAGTAGTGAAGATTCAGCATAATATTCAATGAGGGTCCTTTATCAGTCATGAGTTCATTACTTTTTGAAATTCCTTTCAGTTACATAATACGGGTGCTCGCTGCTAACATCTCTGGTATTGCATTGTACCATTCTAGTCGGATAATGTACAGTTTACTCATCAGTTAATGAAGAAGCAGATGTTAACATGCTGAACTGTAAATTTTGGTGCCTTATTCTGGTTTTAGACGTTAATATTTAGGCGATGTCTATTGCAGATTCTATCGGTATTTCACTGGCCCAGCTATGTTTTCTACCTTGGAGGACGGAAAGATAGTTAGAGGTTTGTCGGGAGTACCTGATGAAGGCCCAGTCATATTAGTTGGTTACCACATGCTTATGGGACTAGAACTTGTTCCACTTGTTGAAGAATTCTTGAGAACCAAGAATATTCTAGTTCGTGGTATTGCACATCCAACGTTGTTCTCAGAACTTGTTCGAACTGACTCTAAGGAGTTCTCCTACTTTGATACATTAAAAATATATGGAGCTACACCTGTCAGTGCGAGCAATCTTTTCAAATTGTTCAAAGCAAAATCTCATGTGTTGCTATATCCTGGTGGTGCTCGTGAGGCTCTTCATCGTAAGGTATATAAATCTCAAAGTAACTAATCTTCTGAATTCCATTTCTTTTGTCCGGTTGAGAAAGATTTTTGAAATTGTGGAACTCTGGATTTTTGAAACTGCCTTTAGGAATATACTATGAAATTCCTGTTTGTTGAACTGTGTTTGGTAGGTTTGAACTCGGCTGCCTTATCTTAAAATCCTTTTTTTTTTTTCTTTCATAGATCAGAGCTTAGTTAGAAATGGTGAATTACAGAACTTCCATGACTATCCGTTACATATACACATATTTCCAATCTCATTTTCCTCTACCAAGAAGAAAAAATGTCTTCGTTGTTAGCACCAAATTTTGCTGTGTTATTCTGAATCTCAAAATTGTATATTTGATATTCTCTTGCATTTACTCTCTCAGGGTGAAATGTATAAACTATTTTGGCCAGACCAACCAGAATTTGTAAGAATGGCAGCCAAGTTTGGTGCCACAATTGTACCTTTTGGAGTCATTGGAGAAGATGACATAGTAGAAGTATGTTTTCTCTCCCGTTTTACATGAATTGTGTTGCTTCCTCGTAACAAAATTTGGCTTGAATTAAGTGGGATATGTTGCTAGAATCTTCACACGTAAGAAGGTATTGCTAAATTATTCTACGCATCCAGGTCAATTTACTGACTAATGAAAGAATGCCTTTTCATTCTAAAGGTGCATTTTTCCGCTGGTGCAAATTCTAGCTCTCAACACTCCGATCATTTTTAACAGTTGTTCTCTTTACTTGAAATATATGAAATGATGACTACTTAGCTGTAGTATGTCCAGATTAATATCCAGTAACCGTTTACCTTTCTTTCATCGTTGCAGTTAGTACTTGACTATGATGACATTATGAAGATCCCTGTGCTTAATGATTATATTAGGAGAAACAATGAACTCTCTCGGTTTAGAGTAAGGTAAATACTTACTTCCTCTGGGAAGCTTCTGAAAATCTCTCTTAACAGCCTGCTAGATACTTTCTACAACTCGTAAAGTGGATGGATGTTGCTTTCAGGGCTAATGTAACTGGAGAGGTTGCGAATCAAGAATTGTACTTTCCAGGCCTGTTGCCCAAAATCCCCGGTCGACTGTACTATTTGTTCGGAAAGCCAATCCGTACTGAAGGAATGGAGGAGTTGTTGAAAGACAGACAAGAAGCAAGAGAGCTGTACCTTCAGATAAAGTCTGAGGTTGAAAACAATATGGCCTACTTAATGAAGAAAAGGGTTGAAGATCCTTACAGAAATATTTTTGATCGAACAGCTTATCGGGCATTTTCTGCTCCCATTGATCAAGTCCCCACGTTTGATCCTTGACGTGTTGCCTTGTAAAGAGATGCATCCCTTGTATTATAGGATACGTATTGAGAGATAGAGAGATACTGATATTCCTTGTAGGTTTGTAGCTATTATTTTTATGGTCCTTTAGATTTTTAAGAAGGGGTAAAGGGTGGCAAGTTGTAATATTCATTGCCAGTGCATCAACTGTTGTTGTTAAATGAAATTTCTAGTTCTAAGCGTCTTGATATGTCTAATAAGCGAGTCACTGAATCTCATTTGTCATTTATATTTATTTTATTTATTGTTATCTCATCTGTAATTGAAAGGAATAGTTCATCATCATTAATGTCCAAACATTTTGATTGGACTCTTTCAAGTTTCAACTCGGTGGAGCGCCAAATTTGTGTTGTAAAACTTGCCCACGAAGGCAGCTTACGGGCAGTTCTTTTTGGTGGTAAATTATGTTTGTTTTACAGTCTGCTTGTTTACACATTGTTTCATTATGTTGTGTTATTTTCTGATTCTTAGGAACTGGCCATTAATGTCTGTAACGAGGTTCAAGTATTTCTGGACGCAAATCCATCCAAAATCTTCACGATCATGATTAATTGAAGACTATGTTACATCTCCTAATGCTGGTCTTAGAAAATTCTGGTTCCCGGCGTCAAAGATGCCCAAAAATGGTGTAGAGAGGAAAATATGATCGACAAAAATCGGCACTAATAAACTGAAGGCACTGTTAGAACTTGCACATGAAGACTGCTTAAGGGTAGTTCTTTTATAATTGCACCCTGATAAAAGTGAAAAATAACAATTGAAAAAGGTTATAATAAGTTATAAATACTTAAATCAGATGTGAAATATGTACAAATGTCGCTTGCAACTAGATGGAATTTCTATTAACCGATCGACCACGATATAAATACTCAACTAGGTTTTTGACCGCACGGGTATAATATTGAAATTTCATATGCTATTCCTCTCTAATCAATTTTAAAAAGAGGATAATAAAGGTTAGTTGTGATACATGTTCAATGTAGTTGAACCATGAATGCAATCTTTTTTTTTTTCTAAAGATTAGTAAACAACCTCAAATACGTTGAACCATGAATGCAATCTTTTTTTTTTTTTCTAAAGATTAGTAAACAACCTCAAAATATTTCTAACTTGAATGCATTTCATTTAATGTCAAATAGTTTTCAATTTCCTTATTATTATTTTTTTTTCCAGAGTTACCATCGTGTCCATAAACTTGACATTGCCAATAGGAAAACCCTTACAAAATGTAGATTACATTATAATTATTTACTAATTTAATTAATGATCGTGTGAACTGAATATTGGTGTAGAATTTCACTATAGCCTTCGTTATAATTGCCATCATTTTGATGATGAAAAGGCACCGGAGATTTCTTTTTCTTTTTAATATATGTGATACATATTATAAAGGACACTGAAACAATATGTAAAATCTACAGAGAAAAGCAATATTATTTTCTAAGAAAAAGTCATAGCAAAAGATGTACCTTGCCATTGTATAGTGTAGTTCCATATGTGAATAGTGAGATCCGCAAAGAAAAGCAAAACAAAATTTTTGTTTTGTTAGATCGAAAGTAGAAGTACTTCACCTTTTTCTTTTTTTTTTTGTTTTTAATTTTCATTGTAATCTCCTCGAGAAAAAAGTTTTATTTTGGAATAAGAGGTAGGAGGCAGTTGAAGTATTGCCCTTCTAGTCTGATGCCTCCTCTGAACTATATGGAACTTGTCGATTCTGATCAAAGAAAAAGAACGGTTGTTGTTATCATGTTTGGAGGTGACCGTTCTAATTAAACTAATGTGCATATTCGGTTTTTCTTTTTACATGTGGATGTGTGTGGATAATTTTCGTGATTAATAACTTGTGCTTGGAAAGCAGTTAAACTGGGATGACAAACGCATGTGAGGATTAACGGTTAGGGAAAAAACTGATCAGAAAAACAGTAGTTTAATTGCTCAGGATTACTTTTAAGGACAACTTTACTTTTCAGAATTTTAGGATGAATTTAAGGACAACTTGACACTTAAATTTTTAGGAGAAAGGTGGATTTTGTTATAATGAGATTTATTTATTATTTAATTTAATTTCTCGGGATTACTTTTAAGGACAATTTTACACTTCAGAATTTTAGGATGAATTTAAGGACAACTTAACACTTGGATTTTTAGGAGAAAGGTGGATTTTGTTATAATGGGGTTTTTTATATTTAATTTAATTTCTCGGGATTACTTTTAAGGACAATTTTACACTTCAGAATTTTAGGATGAATTTAAGGACAACTTGGCACTTAGATTTTTAGGAAAAAGGTGGATTTTGTTATAATGGGATTTATTTATTTATTATTTAATTTAATTTCTCAGAATTACTTTTAAAGACAATTTTACACTTCAGAATTTTAGGATGAATTTAAGGACAACTTGACACTTGGATTTTTAGGAGAAAGGTGGATTTTGTTATAATGGGGCTTATTATATTTGATTTAATTTCTCAAGATTACTTTTAAGGACAATTTTACACTTCAGATTTTTAGGATGAATTTAAAGACAACTTGACACTTAGATTTTTAGGAGAAAGGTGAATTTTGTTATAATGGGATTTATTTATTTATTATTTAATTTAATTTCTCAGGATTACTTTTAAGGACAATTTTACACTTCAGAATTTTAGGATGAATTTAAGGACAACTTGACACTTGGATTTTTAGGAGAAAGGTGAATTTTGTTATAATGAGGTTTATTATATTTAATTTAATTTCTCAGGATTACTTTTAAGGACAATTTTACACTTCAGAATTTTAGGATGAATTTAAGGACAATTTGATACTTGGAATTTTTAGGAGAAAGGTGGATTTTGTTATAATGAGATTTATTATTATTTATTATTATAAATAGATTTGAACGGTTAACCGCACTTTAGAGTTAGTGATCATTACATGATTTGATATAGATGATCTCGCCGTGTCTTTTGCCACTTGTATAATACGTGTCAGTATTAATATTGACATTGATTCATTCACACATTGTTCTTCAATTTTATTGGCTTCAGAAGTGGAGACAATTGTGTAAAGTACAATTTTCTGAAACAACCTTTTGCACCAAAATTGTGAAAAACTCTTCAATGGCTCATTCTGCCCCAAAATAATCTAGTTATAATTTTTATTTTTTTAATACAAATTGTACTAAAATTAATAAATGGATATTTTCTGAAAACAATGAGAGCTACTAGAAGATTTAAAACTTGTGATAAAAGATATTATTTTATGAGTAGTGATAGGTAAAAAAAAATAATAAGGAATGATGTGTCGAAATCTTAACTATGCCCTAACCATAAATGCATAAACCTTGCTTGGAAAGTTTTAATAATAGATGGGTGATATCATTTCCTTGTAATTATTTCTTGTCATTTTTTCATTGTACCAATCATTATTCTTATTTTATTTAGAACATTGATACATACAAAGAAAAAAAGTACAAGGAAAATAAGGAATGATGTATCTACTATTCACAATTTTTACATCAAGCTCTTCACAATTGTACTTTTTCATTTATATAATACATGGTGTATGTTTTACAAATATATTGATAATGTGGATATCTATAAGATAGAAGAGTTATATTAGAATTCCATGTATACACACAATATTTAGTTAGAACTCATATTCGTTGATCTTATCTCTATGTCTATTTGATTGTAAATAGAGGTCAATACCTATTGAACAAGATGTATTTGAATCCTTTCTTTCTCTCTCTCATAGTTTTTCTTCTATAGCTTTTATTTACTTTATAATACGTTATCAACACGAACTTCTTGCCAAAGAGCTTCTCATTTTACCACTGTCTGAAGTTGGCGCGTATTGATTCTGAAGGCCTGAAGCCTAAGTGAATATATTAAAAGGTTTTTATGACCTAAAGCGAGTGAAGCGCGTGTATTGATTCTAAAGGCCTGAAACCTTCATGAATGTTCTGAAGACCTAAACCCTTCACGAGTCTCTACTGAATTGAGAAGGCTACAATCTACGCAAAGCAAATAAACACCAAGAAAGTATGCTGGTTAGTCGAGTGATCATCTGAAGGTATATTTGAGTTTTGGTACTACTCCATCGCACACTATGGTTTGTTTTGTTTTAAAACAAGTTAAAGTAATAAGTGAATTGATCACCCTCATTATTAATTTGTTTGAAAATCATCCGTGCATGATTGCTATTTTTTTTTGTTGGAGTGTTTTTTTTTTAGAAAAAAGTATTTGATTAATCTATAAGTGTAAAGGACATATACAAGATTAATCTATAAGTTTAGATTCAGCGGGAGGCAGGATTTTAGTGCCAAGATGAGTTACTAGTACGTTCATGTAATTCATTAATAGTTTGATGCCATGATCATTTTGATAAAGAAAAGGTGTGCAGTAGTATATGTGTTTTAAAAATTTATTTGCTCTTTACTTTTATTTATAATGTTATTGTGATAGATCTGATCTTATTTAGTTGATCGGTAAAGGTTTGTGTTATTAAATATACTAGTGTTTATTCCGCACGTTGTGCGAGTTGTTTAAGATATCTATGAATTGAATGATCTAAGAATTATATGACATTTCTGACGGAGTCATATTTATAAATAATATTAATGATATAAATAAAAATTGTGTGATTTTTAATGTCAATGTATTTTGTTATTTTAAGTACATTTGGAATAATCTTCAATATTCGAAATCATCTAATTTATTATCCATCTTTTTCATTTGTTGATTTATGGCTTTATATAATTAAAAAGTATTCTCTTAATTTTTCATAATGATATTTATAAATATTTCTACCCGTATCATATATTTTAAATTCTCCCTCTAACAAAAGAGTTTCTCATGTTATATTTCCATAAATTTATCTATTTTTCATCTCTCTATATATTTTTTGCAATTTGTTTTTTGAAAATATGTTCGTATAATTTTCCTATAATATAATTTTTACTTTTTTTTTTCGTTATATAGTCTTGATTTTCTTAAAAAA